CGTTTGGGTGCAGTCAAACCTCAAGGGTATAGCCTATTTTATCAGAGTAGGTATGAGGCTGGTACATGTTGTAGTCAGCTCCGCCTGCCATAACAAAAAAACCACATACCCTGTGGGTTAAACACATTTATTTATCACAGTTCTGGAGGATAGGAAGCCCCACCCAGATCAAGATCCGTGCTGGCGTATCCTTTTCTCAGTGAGCAGCTTCTGGCTTGCAGACACTGCCTTCTCCCACTATTGTCAGATGGTGGGGAGAGGGTACATGGTGCCTGCTATCTCTTCCTCTTCTTCTTCTTCTTCTTCTTTTTAAAAAATATTTCATTTATATATTTTAGAGAGAGAGAGAGGGCACACACGGGGAGGAAAGCAGAGGGAGAGGGAGAATCTTTAAGTAGACTCTGCACTGAGCTCAGAGCCGGACATGGGGCTCAGTCTCACAACCCTGAGATCATGACCTGAAGCCAAAACCAAGAGTTGGACACTTAACTGGCTGAGCCACCAAGGTGCTCTACTTCCCCTTTTTATAAGTGCTCTCTCTCACCCTGGGGGCTCCACCCACATGACCTCACCTAAACCCAATTTCCAGGGGTGCCTGGGTGGCTCAGTTGGTTTTACATCTGCCTTTGGCTCAGGTCATGATCCCAGGGTTCTGGGATCGAGCCCACATTGGGCTCCTTGCTCAGCAGGGAGTCTGCTTCTCCCTCTGCCTGCCACTCCCCCTGCTTGTGCTCGCTCTCTCTCCCTTTCAAATAAGTAAGTAAATATATCTATATCTATATCTATATATTTTTTGGTGGGCAGCAACAAAGCAAGGTTTTTTGAGTGACAACAAAGTGATCATACAAAGATCCCAAGGAGGGAGGGGACCCTAAAGAAATAAAGAAATAAAGAAATAAAATCTTGCCCTAAATAAATAAAATCTTAAAAAGAAAAGAAATGCAACTTATGGGACACTTGGGTGGCTCAGTTGGTTAAGTGTCCAACTCTTGATTTTGGCTCAGGTTATGATCTCAGGGTCGTGGGATTGAGCCCCATGCCCAGCATGGAGCCCGTTTAAGATTCTCTCTCTCCTGGGCGCCTGGGTGGCTCAGTGGGTTAAGCCGCTGCCTTCAGCTCAGGTCATGATCTCAGGGTCCTGGGATGGAGCCCCACATCGGGCTCTCTGCTCAGCAGGAAGCCTGCTTCCCTTCCTCTCTCTCTGCCTGCCTCTCTGCCTACTTGTGATCTCTCTCTGTCAAATAAATAAATAAAATCTTAAAAAAAAAAAAGATTCTCTCTCTCCTTCTCTCTCTGCCCCTCCCCTCGCCCTCTCTAAAAAAAAATAAGTAAAAAAATAGTTTATGATATTTACTCATAATATTTACTCATCTCCCAAAACTATCTGAGGAATCAAGTGTGATGGTGACTTCAAAAGTGCTTTGTAAGCAGGAAAGCACCTTATAAATAGCTGGTTGGTGGGGGAGGTCTTTTGCAGTGTTCTGTGACTAAACACTGTTGCTCTAAATTAGCTCCCCACCTCTTCCTATTCGTTTCCTATCTTCACCAGTTCTGAGCTCTCTTCATAGCGCTCGTCACTGTCTGCTATGATTTTGTTTTTTTTTATTTTCTCCCCGACTTGATGTTAGTTCCCATTGGGCAGAGACATCTCCCTGATTTGCTGCCTAATCACCATCTTAGCATCCTAACATCAGATGAAACCTGGAGGATTTGTAAACTGCCCAAGGGCTTTATTTTTTTTAAAGATTTATTTATTTATTTGACAGATAGAAATCACAAGGAGGCAGAGAGGCAGGCAGAGAGAGAGGAGGAAGCAGACTCCCCGCTGAGCAGAGAGCCCAATGCGGGGCTCGATCCCAGGACCCTGGGATCATGACCTGAGCCAAAGGCAGAGGTTTTAACCCACTGAGCCACCCAGGCACCCCAAGATTTTATTTATTTATTTGACAGACAGAGATCACAGTAGGCAGAGAGAGAGGAGGAAGTAGGCTTCCCGCTGAGCAGAGAGCCCGATGTGGGGCTCGATCCCAGAACCCCGGGATCATGACCTGAGCTGAAGGCAGAGGCTTTAACCCACTGAGCCACCCAGGTGCCCCTTTTAAACCTTGATCAAATGCTGTTCTATTTTGACTTGTACTATAGGTAGAAATAAAGCCCTTTGTGAATGACAACTTCTCTGTGAATGCTACAAAGGAATTAATAAATATGCACTTTGTCAAATGGAAAAAAATCACTTTATTACAATGCACCCTGCCACTCTGCTAAGATCTTTTGAAACAGAAAATTTTTTATATTACAAAATGCTGTACAGACCACGTGCAGTGTTTCCAAATACTCTATCCCATGTGCCATTTGGAATCTTTGTAAGTGGTAAAGTGCTTTGTAAATGTCAAACTACTTAAAAACTACAGAATGTTCTGTAAACAACAAGGAGTTCTGTATACTACAGAGCACTCTGCCTCAAAGAGTTTTGCTAAAGGCAAATAATATTTTTAAGTGCAAAATAATCTGTCTATATCAAATACCTCTGTAATTATAAAGTGCTCTTCAACTGCAAAACACTTTACATTTTGGAAAGATAAATAGACTGATACATAATTTAAAATAAATAACTGACAAGAGGCAAAGTCTCTGAGACAATGTAAGGTCCTGGGCACCCTAAGTAGTAATTTGTAAATAGGTGCATGTTTGTTGATGGTCTCCTGCTTTGTTAAGTATGTGAAGTGTTGGTTATCCAATGTCATCTCTTTCTCCTCCTCTGGAATCTGGGTGGAATTTGTAGTTGCCCTGGCTGGTGGAATGCATACCAGACTTCCAAGGCAAGGTCCTAAAAGGCAGTAGTTTCTACCTGGCTCTCTCTGTTCCATCTTCCACTCCCACTGATTCCCCATGAGACTAGTGCCAGGAACCCAATCTCACCCCTACTGGAGGGCCCTACTACTTAACAGGCTATTAAAATGTAGAACTACTCTGGGGGACGCCTGGGTGGCTCAGTGGGTTAAGCCTCTGCCTTCCGCTAGGGTTGTGATCTCAGGGTCCTAGGATGGAGCCCTGAATAGGGCTCTCTGCTCAGCAGGGAGCCTGCTTCCCCCTCTCTCTCTGCCTGTCTCTCTGCCTATTTGTGATCTCTCTGTCAAATAAATAAATAAAATCTTAAAAATATATATATAGCCCTCAATGTGCAGCCACTGCTCTAACCTTCTAAGTGTCCCACTCTTCTGGGCACTTGGTCTCCTCCAAGCCCCCAGACCTACTTGCAATCAGCACTAACGACGTGAGCCTCCTAGACCTAATCCCCACACTCCAACCAGTGACAGTCTCAATTGGTTGGTGGGCCCCGTCATGCTTGATAAACATTCAGAAAATCACCCCTGCCTCTCCTTTCTCCTGCAAGCTGGGGTCAACCACCACAGAAGTGTCCCATCCAGTTGGAGCCTGGGTGGGATCCCATCTGCAGCAAATTTTCTAGAATACAGCTAGTCTATGTCGTTTTGTTATGGAAGACTGAGCTGAGGGAGACAAAGTGGCTCTGTGAACAAGAGCCACTATCTCCTCCCGAGTGTCTTAGAAATAAATTTAGCAAGAAATATGCAAAACTTGATTAAGAAAACAAAAGCCGGAGATGCCACCAAATCATACAAGAGTTGCTTCAGTGGACATACACTCTAGTTTTGTCTGGGATATCTCAAATTTCTCAAGTTGTCAAAGCTGTCCAGATGAATCTGCAAATTTAAGTTAAGCCCAATAAAATGCCAGGGGGATTTTTTGAGAATTTGAAAAAAAGTTCTAAAGAGTACTTGGAAGAAAATAAAATGTGTTACAAGGACCATGTAACTATGTGGGAAAGAAGGGTAACAGAGGGAGTTAGACCCTGTAAAATAGTGGAACTTATTACACAGGTATAATAATCCAAATAGTATGGTATAGCTAGAAAAGACACATTCGTGAACCAGTGTGGATATGGGTCAGTAAAAGTAAGCCAGGAATAGACCTAAGGAGATTTAAAATGTTAGCCTATGATAAATTTCAAGTCAGTGGCTAAAAATTGAATTAATTGATAGGTGAATGAAGGCACTTGTACAACTATCACAGTGAGTGAATATTCCTTATATTTTTTGCCCTAGGTCTCCCCGGGGCCTCATTCTAGTCTGGGGCTTGGATTTCAACAACTGGCAAATAAGAAATAAATCGATTCCTTTTCCTCTTCTCCCTTCCCTACTGTTCTCTCTCTCTTTTTTTTTAAAGATTTAATTTATTTATCAGAGAGAGAGCACATAAGCAGACAGAGGCAGAGAGAGAAGCAGGCTCCCTGCTGAGAGGAATCATGGAATCATGACATGAGGCAAAGGCAGTGGCTTAACCGACTGAGCCACCCAGGCATCCCTGTGCTCTCTTTTTCATCTTACCTTCCTTTTATCTACCTACCTATTATCTATCTGTCTACCCATCACCTACCTTTTTGTGTGTGCATATGTTTAACAGAAAATATAGAAGGATATCCTCTGTGATATTAACAAGTCTGGGTTTTGGAGCTCCTCTCTACTTGCTAAATGGGATGCTTCCCAATTCATGAATCTGTTAATAAAGCCTATTCAATTTTTTGTTAAAGTCTGATTTTGACAGTGAATTACAGGTGATTTTTACTTTAATTTTATTGCCTCCTTGTTTGTATAAAAATTAGAAATAAACAATAAAGTTCTTGGGGCACCTGTGTGGCTCAGTGGTTTAAGCCTCTGCCTTTGGCTCAGGTCATGATTCCAGGGTCCTGGGATCGAGCCCCGCATCAGGCTCTCTGCTCAGCAGGGAGCCTGCTTTGGGGAGCCTGCTTCCCTTCCTCTCTCTCTGCCTACTTGTGATCTCTGTCTGTCAAATACATAAATAAAATCTTAAAAAAAAAACAATAAGATTCTTTTTATTTTGAAAGAAAAGTTAAAATGCCTTTCTCAGTTCTTGGCACATGGCAGACGCTCAATATTGGATCCCTCATTTGTCTGTTCTTTGTGTGAGAATGTGCGAGCATGTATGTGTCTTTGTCTTTTACTTCATTTCCGTCATTGACTTAGTCTCTGTCTTCCCTATTATACCCCCTCTTTTCCTTCTCCCACACCTTCTATGTCTCTGTAGATTTCTTGCTTTTTCTTTTCTTCTGAATCCTCATCTTTTTCAAAAATCTTCATTGTGTGTTTGGGGTTGGACAAAGGGAGAAAGTCACACAAAGGGGAAGTGGTGAGCAGGAGTTCTCAAAATGTGGGAAAGATCTCAGCTTACCTAGGGAGAATGGGATAAAGGTTTCCTGCGTCTGAAGTTGCCCTCCGCATCCAGGAAGTGGCCAGGGTGGAACGTTTCTGGCTTCTCAAAGTGGCATGGATCATGGAGGACGGAGCTCAAGACAGGATACACAGTGGTGCCCTAAGAGGGTGTCAAAGCCAAGAGGACCCAAAGGGGCATGAACAAGGAGTGGCTGAATCAATGATGGTACATCCACAATGGATTAACAATAGCTTCATCTTTTGTATGGTTCTATAGTTGGTGGCTGATATTTTGAGTAACTTTGCCCCAGTTGGTTAATAGTTGTGTCCCAAGCCTTCTAGGTATCCCCACCAACTACCTAATCCCCTCTTCCCCCAAGACCCTTCGGACTTCTCCATAATCCATTGACTGAAAGTTTCACATTTGGCTCAGCAGAAGCCTCCAAGGAACCAACTCAACAAGAACCAGGATCTACAGGCACATCTCAGAGATATTGCAGGTGTGGTTCCAGACCACAGCATTAATGTGGGTAACGCAAAAAGTGGATCAAATGAATTTTTTGATTAACCAGTGCATATAGCATACTATTATGATATTATAAAAAGAAAGACACAGACACAAAAACAATAAAAGATAAGTTGCACATTGCAATGATTTGCACATGAAGACATGAGGAGAAGGAGACACACACACACACTGGACACACAAGTTTCAAAGTGATAGATAAAATATGAACTGAATCGGGGCACCTGGGTGGCACGGTTAATCGTCTGACTCTTGGTTTCACCTCAGATTGTGATCTCAGGGTAGTGAGATCGAGCCCCGTGTCAGGTTCTGTGTTCAGCCTAGAGTCTGCTTAAGACTCTCTCTCTTGGGGCGCCTGGGTGGCTCAGTGGGTTAAGCCTCTGCCTTCGGCTCAGGTCATGATCTCAGGGTCCTGGGATCAAGCCCAACATTGGGTTCTCTTCTCAGTGGGGAGCCTGCTTCCCCCTCTCTCTCTGCCTGCCTCTCTGCCTACTTGTGATCTCTCTCTCTCTCTCTTTTTCAAATAAATAAATAAAATCTTTAAAAAAGAAAAGACTCTCTCTCTCTCTCTCTGGCCCTCCCCCCATGTGCTTTTTCTCTCTCAAATAAATAAATAAACCCTTAAAAAAATAAGCTCATCTATTATGTGTATATATGGAGTGCATGTTCATGTAAACTTAAAGAAATTATAGAAAGAGAAACAAAGCTTTGAATGTCTTCTCATGAAAGAGGAAGGTAGGGGAGATGACAAAATGCTTTAAAAAAAAAAAACAGCTCTATTGTAATACATACTTCAGTAAGTATATGCTTTCCCCCCAGTGTATCCAACATCTAATAAAGGTTAAAAAAAAAAAAGGACAGAAGGGAGAAGATTTTTCTACATTTCAAAAATCTGTCTCCTTCCCATAGAAATCTGGAAATAATAATTCTCATTGTGATCCATTGACCAGAGACATGAACCATAAGGCTACACCAAGATTCTGTGGTCTCACCTTAGGGAGATGATATCCCCAGAAGTGAGTGTCCTTGATGACACAACGCGGAAGACCAAGGGGGAGGACGTCACTGAATCTCTGAATTTCATGGATGACGGCGTCTGTGTAAGGCATTTTTGCCCTATCTTCAAGGGCTGGGAGATGATGTGAGCCAATCACTCTGTCAATCTCTTCCTGGACTTTCTCTAAAAATGGTAAGGATGGAAGGAGGGGGTAACATCAATGAATGTCAGTAATAGTGGGCTCAACAAAGTCACACAGAAGATGATCTGCAGACTGGGGAGAAGGGGTGTCTTATGAACTATTTGCTCAGATGTTGGGTTATTGTTCCTTCTCAATGAAAGGAACATTCATTGACTTTTCAATGAATGAAAGTCAGTGGCTTCATTGTGGGGAAGTCTTGTCTGATGTTTCCACGCTAGTTATGAGTGGAGATCAGTTGAGTAATGATGGGAGGGTGGAAACTCACTCAACACTTAAGGCTATCTTTTTCTTTTCTTTTCTTTTCTTTTCTTTTTTAACTAATAATGGGTATGGCTGGGACTGGTGTCATATCATTTTGTCCCAGTGACTTGCTATGTGATCTTGAATAAACCATTTCCCCAATCTGGCTCTCAAACTGATTACCTGTAAAATAAGGGAATTTGATTAGATAAGAGTTTCTCCAAGTCTGATCTGCAGACTGTCAGCATGAGAACTGAATGAGGGCCTTTCTAATTAGCTATAAATCAGCAATATACTTCAAAGAGTCAAGTTCTTTGTTAACCTCAAAGCTTTCTGTCAAGAGCCATGTGGTTTTGTAGACTGCAAAATGCTTTGTGAATGATACTCCCTGGTTGAAGCACCCCTCCTAAACCATGAAGCATTTTACAATTCACCTTATGTACTTTATAAAAGTAAAGTACCTTTCAAGCCACAGGGGCTTCATTGAATGGAAAACATTTTGTAAACTGCAAATTACCCTGTCAACTCCAAAGTGCTTTGTTCTCAGCAAAACTTTATAATAAGCTACCAGTCCCTCCAGGGGTGGATCTTTGCTGACCACAGTGGTCTGTCTTCACCCATCACACGACCACCTTCCAGTATGGCTGCAAGACCCTCAGCTCTTTCTGGCCCTCGACCACCAATGCCCAGCTCACCTACAACATCAGGGTTCTTAAGAAGGAGTACAAATCCATGCAAGAGAGTGTTGCTGGAGCTCTCTGTGCCGGCGAGAAACAGCGAGACGACCGTGTAGACAAGGTCCTTAAAGTGAAATTCGCTCTCAGGATCAGAGCTCTCCTGGGGATAGTGACAGACAATCCTTAACATTTCCCCTTGCAAAGATTCTCAGCTTCTAGATCTTTTCTTCCAACCCACCTCCATGTTATTCTGTGCCAGTTTCTTCTTTCTTTCTTCTTTTTGGTATTTCCTTTTTTCTCTATTCGAGGCCAACAGTGGAGCAAAAGTGTGGGCTCTGGACCCAAACTGCCTACGTTCAAACTAAAGTCCTACCATTCACTAGTTAGGAGTCTTTGGGTAAGGAGCTAACCCTCTCTGTGCCTTAGTTCGTTGTCTGGGGTTGTTTTGATATTATGTTTGTAAGTACTCCATACATGTTAGGGATTAATTTTTTTTTTGTTTGTTTTTTTTGTTATCCTTTCTTTGGGTGTCTCTCTTTCCTTGCAGTTGTCTATCCAGGGGTGATACTGAAATACTTAATAACCAGCTACGCACTTGCCAGACCAATCAGAACAGACACGGGCCTCTGACCAATCAGAACAGAAACTGGCTTCCGACCAATCAGAACAGACACAGGCCTCCAACCAATCAGAACAGAAATTGGCCTCTGACTAATCAGAACAGACCTAGGCCTCTGCCTATTTAGAACGCGAGGAGGTGGAGAAGGGTCTTGAAGACCCCCTGTGTGAGGCCGGTGCTCGCTAGCTCTTTTAGTTGCTACCTCAGACCACCGTTCCAGGAGAGTCTGGGAAAGCTGAGGAAGGACTGGGAGATGGGAAGGGAGGGTGGACTAGTGGCTTTCTTACCAATTCGCAGGGAAGTATTTCAACATTTAAACATCACATACATCGTACCCAAACATATTAGCTCGAAATCAGTAGTGTGCCCATCGCTCTCTTTCCCACCCACCCCTCATCCAGCTTGGCCCTTGCCTTGTCCATGCGGACCAGGAAGGAATCGATGAAGTCCTTTGGGGCGCTGGGATCTAGCATTTCCCGGTGCCTCTGGATATTCTTAATGACAAAATCTTCAATTTCTCGGACTTTGCTGTACACGTCCCTGTGGATGCCCGGAGAGTATTTCAGGATGCCGGAGAAGACTTCAAACATCTGCAGGGAAGCAAGGAGTTCCCAGAGTCTGTTGCCTCTGGGCTGGTACTGCAGGGTTGAGGCTGTGCCCTGCATGGCACAGCAATAACTAAAGGGCTTAATTCACCCCCCTGGCCTTGGGGAATGGCGCGCCTCCCAGTTGGGCAAACAAGCACACATGTACACACTCAGTGGTGTGTGAACGAGTGCACCCTGGCCCAATCATGCTTACCTCTACTGGGATTTCCTCTCTCATAGGCCTCCCTTTCCTAAGGTCTATTTCCTACCTCCAGCCTGACTCATCACCTTTGGTGCCTTCTTGCATCAGTGTTAAGACAAAAAGCATCTGATTTTTGCCCAGGGTCCACCCACCCCAATTCCTACCCCCCCCCCCCCCCCCCGCACGGAACCTTTGGCTTCACCTGGCCGTAGAAAGAGCTGGAGAGATCAGAGATATCATTCATTAAATGTAGCAACCGTAAGAATCCAGGGTCCTGGTTATTGAAGCGCTGGCCAAAGATGATAGTACAAATGATGTTAGCCATGGCGGAGTGAAAAAAGAAGGTGGGATCCAGATAGGCCCCTGTGAACAGGAGTTCCCTCATGGTAGGGCCCTACATGGTGCTTCTGGGAGGCTCTGACCTGGGCAGTGCCATCTCAGCTTGGTTGGTTGGTCTCTTTCTCTTTCCCTTGGCCAGCGTGCCTTTGCTGGGTCTCTGATGGTTTTTTCCTGGACATCTCAGGCTTTTGTCTCATGGTTTTCTTGGGCTCTGCCTGGATCTGACTCTCTTGGTGCACCTTTGTCTTTCTCTGGTCTTGTCTCTGACTCTTTGTTTGAGACTCAGCCCCTTCTTCTCTGTCCTCTCTTCCCATGCCCATCTTCTTGGCCCTCTCCCCTGACTCTATTCTCTTTACCTTTTTCTTTCTATGTCCTTTCCTTACAGTTTCTGCTTCTGGATCAGTCTTTGTGAGGGTCCTGGGTTTTCCCTCTGACTTGCTTCTCTGTCTGCTTTCTCTGCCTTTTCCTCTCTCTGTCCCTGTTTTCTTCATTCTCTTTCTCTTTCTGTCTGTCTACTTCTCTCTTTCCTTGAACTTGTCTCTGCATCTCTCTGTCTCTGTCTCTGGGTCGTTCTGTCCCCATCTCACCCACCCCCTGCCTGCCCATCCACCCCCTGCCCCTGCTCCTGGGCTCACCCCGGGATTTCTGGAGCTCCTCTACCAGATGCTGAGCCTCCTCCTGGATTTGCTTCTCAATGCTCTGCTTCCCCATCCCGAACTCTCTCATGGTGAGGTCAGAGAACTGCCGAAGGACCTTCCAAGGCTTTCCATTGACAAAGACCAAATCTGATTGGGGGGGCATGGAGGGAAGTTTGGGAGGACACATGGAGGCATCCCCTAGTCTTTTCCCCAACCCCCACCCCCGTGCCCCACTCACCTCTCCCCTTGAAGAAGGGATCGATGCTGGCGATGTGTCCTTGGCCAGAGAAAGCTTCAGCTTGATTCACCAGAGCCTCCTTCACTGCCTTGTACCCATACAGGATGACAACAGGCTGGGGTCCCAGGTAGACTGTGAAGACGTCCCCGTATTTCTTCTGCAGCTGTGGAGGTGGGGTCTAGCTCTCACTCTCTCACTCAAGAGAAGAGTCTCCATCCTTATACCTGGGTCACACCCTCCAGTCTAGCCTAACCACCACCACTGGTCCCCATTGAATCCCTATCAAGGAAGAAGGGAGACCCGAACTCTGTGGCCTCTTTCAAGCCTCCCTCATACACCCTTGCCCCAAATGTTCTCATCTCTCAGCTTTTCCAAGAACTCTCCCAGCTTCAAATTTTAAAAATGACAGAGACTCAGGGCACCTTGGTAGCTTATTTGGGATAGAGCCCTGCATCGGGCTCCCTGCTCAGCAGGGAGTCTGCTTCCCCCTCTCCCTCTGCCTCTCCCCTGGCCCCTGCTCTCTTTCTCAAATAAATAAATAAAATCTTTTTAAAAAATGACAGTGACTCCTCATATGTAAGCTCTAGTACCTCTCCCTCCCAAACCCTGCAGGACACAGCTCAAAGCTTCATGTCTACCATCATAATTTCTCCCTCCAGTCTACCTTCCCTGCATTCCTTCTTATAGGAATTCCAGAAGCTTCTCTCGTGGACATATTGGGCCAGATGACAGATCGAGGCTGGAAGAAGATAATCCCCAAGCTGGCCTGAGAAGTCTCAACCACAGTTTGAACCCCAACTGCCTTGCTGTTTGTGATCTCTTACCTGTCCACCCATCTCCTGCTTATCCTCCTCCTTCCCCCTCCCCAACTCACCGACTGGAAGGTCTTGAGAAAGCCCTGGTGTCTATTTGCAAAATGTTCCCCAGGAAGGGCAGAGGCCAAGGTCCTGAAGGGAGGCATCCCCGGGAGGTTGGGTGACCCCAGAGTAGCAAGGGGCCAATGAGGACACTGAGAAGCAGGAGGGTTGACAGCACCATGGTTCTGGCTGTGTCTGCCTTCCATCCTGCTGCCCCTCTTTAAAGGGAGGCTGCTCTGTTGTTTGTCATTTTTTTGGGCTAGTGGGGGCGGGTGGGTCATAAATCTACCTTGGAAGAGCTCTTGGGAACTCTCTAGCAACAGGGAGCCCAAAGTTGGCAGGTGCTGCTGAAGCCAGGAAGTTTAGCATCTCACACGGGTCCCAAAACTAGCCTTCTATTGGGCTCTGGCTGCCTAGAGATATCTTAGCAGACAATGCCCTTGAACTTGGAATACCTTCCTGAAGGAAGGGTAGTGGCATTAGCCTGTGGAACATGTAGAGGCTGGTGAGGGGAGGTTGCACCACAAGGATGGCTCTTGGCCAGTTTTCTCAAAGGGTGGCATTGCATCATGAGAGACTAAGAATAGCTAGAAGGCAGAATTGGTACATCCTGTGTTCTTTGGGAATAGGAACTTATTCTGGTCATCAGAAGAAAATGAGATATGAAGACAAAGACAAGGTCTGATGGGGAAAGTCTAGCTCCATGTTGGGGGTGCCTTTGGGTTGCCTGATTCAACCATTCATTCATTCATTCATTCCTCAGCAAATATTTTGCCTTCTTGGAACTGACCTGGCAGTGAAGAAATTCTCACCTTCCAGAAAGATCCCTAGTGACCTGGCAATAGATGGGTCTCACATAGAATGTCATGGATCCCCATCTGACCAGGCTTTGGATGTTTATTTGAGTGTCAGGGGGATTGAAGGGCACTATCAGGGAATCCAAGGCCCCAGTGTAGAATCATGCAGCTCAGGGGGTTGTGGGCCGAGGAGACCCTTGCCCTGAGGGAAGCAGTAGGGAGAGTCTTTGGGAACAAGGACAGCAATGGTCTACAGTGTGGATGAACTTCCAAAATATGATGCTGGGTGACAGAAGCCAGACACAACAGAGCACATATTATATGATTCCATTTATATGAAATACACAGACAAGGCAAAGCCATAGAGCTAAAAGCAGATTGGTGGCTACTGGGGGCTGAGGGGAAGGGGGAATGGAGAGTGACTGCTAATGGGTACAGGGTTTTCTTCTTGGGAGATGAGAATTTTTGGAACTAGATAGTGGTGGTGGTTGTACCACATTGGAAATGAACTCAATGCCATGAAATTATACACCTTAAAACGCTTTGTTTTAGGTTATGTTAATTTCACCACAATTTGAAAATATATTGGGGGCAGTTGGGCGGGACCAGCTGAAGAATTTGAGTTTGAGAGCCAGGGAGATGGAGTGTGAACCTTGCTCCTCCACTCCCAGCCATACGACCTGGGACAACGGATGCCAGTGCCTGGCCTTTGTTTACTCATCTGTAAGATGGATGCGATCATCACACCCACCCCCATGGAAACCCTGGAAGGAAGATTCAAGTGAGATCGTGTATGCACAGATCATGGAGCGCAAACAGTTGCTAGGAGAGGGTGGTAGTTCTGAGGAAGGGAGGAGTCACTGGGGGAAGCTGTGGCTTGGGAGGTAGAAGGGAGCCACGTCTCCCCTCTTAGCCCCCAGCTTTTATATATGCAGTTCATCCAGAACTCTGTTAACAAAGGAGAGAAAACATTTCCAGTGAGTCTTTACAAGAGCTGCAGAATGATGGGCTGAGATGAGGTGGCAAAGAGGACTTTCCCAGGGAGGTGGCACCAAGGAGGGGAGGGCGCTGGCTGGCTGTGGGTCTCTTCGTGGCAGGAAGACCCAGAGAGAGGCAAGGAGCTGTACTCTGCAGAGGTGGGATACTTCATGATCCTGGGATTCTTTGACTCCCCCCGCCTCCCTCAGCACCCTCCATGAGACAGAAAGCTGATCTGGTACACAGGGGGCACTTTGCCCACGCCGATCTCCCGGGGTGTGAGGTCGATGTCCTCAGGGGCCACGGGGCTGGCCACGGAGAAGTTCTGGAGGATGGTGGTGAAAAAGAGGAATAATTCCATGCGGGCAATGCCTTCACCAAGACAGATGCGCTTCCCTGTGGACACACAAGATCACCAGCATGGGCACGGAGCCAATGCATGTTCCTTGCCCTCTCACATGGCAAACCCAGACATCTGTGGCCATTGCAACAGATGTGTATGGGATTAGCCTTTAACCTGCAATTCAGGGTGTAATTCCTGGCGGTTCCCGGGCCCTCTGAAAGTGTAAACATTTAGGCCTTGCACATTTTTTTTTCCCCCAGGAGAGAGTTCTTTTCTTAGATTTCCAGAGGGTCCAGCAGTCCCCCCAGAGAATAAAGACACATTTCTGGTTGGATGTGTGTGTGTATGTGTGTCTGTCTGTCTGTCTGCCTCCACTGTGTAGGTGTGTGCACATTTCTGACATTTTTAACGTCTTTCATTTCTAATATGGGGAGAAGAGTACCCATCAAATAGGGATATTGTGAGGTTAAAGAAATGAATATTTGTAAAAATTCCTAGACTAACACTTGGCCTCTGCTAAGGATGCTAAGGTTCTTGCTTTGTGTTTCCTTCTGGGTGTATGTGGCATGGAGTGTGTGTGTGGTGGGGAGTGTGAGGTTGCTGGGGAGCGGGGGGGGTGTATCTGGCACTGCGTGTTTCCCTATCTCTGGGTTGTCATCTTATCTCAGTCTGAGAGCCACCGGCTTCAAGAGTTTGGGGCAAAAACCAAACTGCACCTAAAACTGTGAGTGGGACTGGTACTTGTGAGAGGGGAGTCTACGGCTTCCAGCAGACTCTCAGAGGCGTGAGAGCTCCCCAGTAGGTTACAGAGCATGGGCTTGATGAGAAATGAGGACACATGGAGTGGAGCCCTCAGGCAGAGACACTGAAAGCCTTGTCCTTTATGTCAGGGCCTGTTTATCTGCAAGCTGGCCACCTTGGAAAGGCCATTCCAGACGTTTCCTAGACCTTGCATTGGGCCTGTGTGGAGGTTTCTGGGGAATATGTCCACATCTTTTTGCACATTAGAAATTAGGAAATACGAACTTAGGAATACCGAGGGCAGAGCTCGGGGCTAGTTCTCCTACACCTGGTTCTTTGACCCAATTCTTTCCAGAACAGCCTGGCTCTACTCTCTACTCCCACCCTGTCTTCTTCATCCCCTGGGCTGTCTATTGGGACACCTTTGCATGCTTTTTGTCTGACTATCTTTTTGCCTTGGCTTGTCTTTCTTTCCTGCCATGGCAAAATTGCCCCAGTCTCTTGCTCTGTTTGTATCTTGTCTCCCTCCTCTTTTGCCCACTTTCTTCCATTTTAATCTCCCTGTCTCTGTCCATTTGCATCTGATTCCATCTGAAACACTCTCTCTCCCCTTTTCTGTCTCTCTCTCTCCTCTTCCTCGCTCTATTGTCTCATGTTCACTCTGTCTCTTTCTGTCCCTACGTCCCCTGTTACTGTCTCTGTCTCTCCTTGTCCCTCTCTCTGTTTCTCACTCACTCCTTCTTTTTCTGTATCTGTCCTTCTTTTTCTACATCTCTGTCTTGACTCTAGGGTCCTCCTTTCTCCCAAAGGATGAGGACCCTGGGCATTGGGGTTGTCTCTAGAAGGGGCCAAAAGATGGAGAATGTGGACAGAGACAATTCAGAGCATGTCAAGAGCCTCTCTGGTTCCCCAGCACCAGCAGGATAAATCCAAACACCCCCAGCTTTCATGCCCCCCCAGCTGAGCTCTTCACCCTTGTCCCCTTCTATAATCTACATTCCAACTCACAGGGTTCATCTAGTTTCTCAAATATGCCATCATGTTTCCACCTGCAGGCTTTGACCTTGCTGTTGCCTCTGCCTCGATCACTCTTTCTAGAGGCCAACTGATACTCATCCTTGAAGTCTTAGCATAGAGGCCAGGGCTTCAGGGGAAGTTTTCCCCAATGAATCATCAAGAGTAGTCAGTCTTTCCTATTTTGTTTCCAAAGGCCCTTTTAGAGCACTTATCACAATCACGATTCATCCATTCATCGTGATAATAATCACCACCTCTGTGACCACTCCCTTTGTGGCAAGCAGCCCTAAGCACATTACAAGCACCGACTCATTTCATTAGGGACTATTTTTGTGGCCAGATTATAAATGCCCATCTTCCCTGCTGGACTGTAAATTTCCCAGGGCAGGAACTGTGTGAATTGTCTGAACGTGAATTGTCCCGCACATTATTTTCAGCCCCCAGATGAGCACTGAGCTCAGAGCAGTGCTTGATAGATATTTTATACAAGGTATAAAGAGGTTAAAATATTTTCCCTGGTCCAGCTCACCAAGATGTGCCTTTGGGACATGATCTTACTTCTTAAGTCCCCTCTAGGGTTGCAGTAAAGATGGAACAGATGAAAGTGGGTAAAGCAACTGACATATACATATACACACACACGCTGATGCTCACAAAGCAAAGATCTCCCCCTGATTGTCTCAGCGTGGGGATGGCACTCTGGGGTCTGGGAAAGGGAGTGGAAGCCAGGCTCACCTATGGAGAAGGGGATAAAAGCTTCATTCTTCTTCAGTGCCCCCTTGGCATCCAGAAAGTGGTCAGGGTTGAAGACATCTGGTTTTTCAAAGTAACGTGGATCATTGAGAGCAGAGTGCAGGATGGGAAATACTTCAGTGCCCTGAGGGAGGGTCACAAGGTCAAAAGATACTGCCATTCCCTTCCTCAGTGCACCCCGTAAAAAAGTAAAATAAAATAAAAAGGGGCGCCTGGGTGGCTCAGTCGTTAAGCATCTGCCTTTGGCTCAGGTCATGATCCCAGCGTCCTGGGATTGAGCCCCACATTGGGCTCCCTGCTCTGTGGGAAGCCTGCTTCTCCCTTTCCCACTTCCTCTGCTGTGTTCCCTCTCTTGCTGTGTATCTCTCTGTCAAATAAATAAATAAATAAAATCTTTAAAATAAAATAAAATAAATAAAAATGAGGGTCCTAGTGATAAAACCAATGCAAACCAAAACAAAAACAGGTCAAGGGCAGAGATGAGCCACACTGGAGAGATGCGGGAGCCCAGCTGACCTCACCTTGGGAATGATGTACCCTCTGAAGCAAGTGTCTTTGGTGACCATATGGGGCACGCCAATTGGGAGGAGGTCCCCGAATCTTTGAATCTCGT